TACAATCGAAGGTTTAGAGACGTTTAAGCTGAGAGATTATAAACCATCAATTTAACTAATTTAGACAACAAGTCTTCTGCAGCATCCTACCATAGACTTATTTTTAATGTCTTCTCATTTATAATAGTTATAATGCAGTTTCCTGTGGTACCACAGGAAACTGCATTATAAATAAGTCTATGCTGGTAGGATGCTGCAGAACCCCAATAGCCAGGATTTCAAGGACCAATTGAAGTTTCTCATCTTCATAATTCAAGAGCATTACCGTTTGAATTTCCTTCATTATTCCCACTGCATGAAAAGGTCAACGTTGACCTTCTCATGCAGTAGGAATAATGAAGGAAAGTCTCTTGGACGCCCTATACAAACAGTGCCAGCGAAAAATTCAGCTCAAATTACTGTATTTCATAACAGCATGAAGCAAGCATTTTCAGCCCTGATTTTTTAAACCTTCCAAACTCAAAATATCCTTCAATTAAGTCAAATTATTCTTGAATTACTGTACAGTATTGAATATATGTGTGATGGTGGACTTGAACCTCTCAAAGGCATAAAACTCAGATCCAACTCCTTCTTTAAAACTTTAAAGCGAATTTCTACTAAGACCTAGTTTTCCCTAACGTACTCACCAACTCAAAACCTGCTCTCTAGCCAAATTTTGTTTTGGTCATTTCAAATTCGACTAAAAGAGAGGTTCAACTGTAGTGTACAACATTTACTGGAATATACAGTACCATGCACCCTTGAATATGACGAGCATACTCTACGGGATTCCCGGCTCGAGTGTACGCGGTACCTATATATAATGGTCTCGTTTATTTATTCATTCAATTCATTTTAATTTTTTGCGCATGCAGTTCCTCCACGTGAAGCTGGCCGCAATGTCGTCGGTGGTGATGGCCATCGTGACGATGATCGTCGTGGCCCTGCTGCTGCTGCCCGACTGGCGCTGCAGTCTCTGGATCGGCCTGTCCGTGCTGTCCATCGAACTGGGCGTCGTGGGCTTCGCCAACTTCGTCCACGTCAACCTCGACACCGTGTCAGCTGGCATTCTCATCATGTGCATCGGGTTCTCAGTGGACTTCTCGGCCCACGTGTCCCACGCCTACATCCACTCCCCGGCCACGACGAGTGCGGCCCGCGTGGACGACGCCCTGGCCCACGTCGGCGTGCCCATTGTCCAGGGCGGCCTGTCCACCTTCCTGGCCATCTCGCTGCTCGGGCTCATCGAGTCCTACGTGTTCCGCGTCTTCTTCGCTCTCACGGCACTCGTCGTTGTGCTCGGCGTGCTCCACGGACTCATCTTCTTGCCCGTGCTCTTCTCCATCTTCCTCCCGCCGACGCCCGACAGCAAGAAAAATAAGTCGGTGGCGGTGATGGCCAGTAATAAAAAGAACGACGACATCATCGACCCCACGACCAGCACTGCAATAACCACTGGTTGCTCACTACACCAGGGCAGCAACAGCAACAAGGATCTTCGGGCTGTCGTTTGCACCGACATGCGGAGGAAGAGCGGCGGCAACCTCACTTTCCATCTGGCGGCAAACAAGAGTCTTCCATCAGAATTTGTGGCGCAGAAGGACTTTGACGAAAACGGGAGCGACTCGTTCGTGGCTCGATTTTAAGATACGTCCAGCATCAAATCCTGTCTCTTTCTTTCTTCATTATTTTCCTGAAGGAGACAAATAAATTAAATTGAAAAGGGAAACAAAATGACAAAAAGGATGAGAATCGCTTCAATAAGAATCGAAAGACATTAAACCCTCCGCAAATTCATTCTGTCATTCCAAAGGTTTGCATTTTTCCTCCCAGCACTGATGGGAACTGTACACTAGGGTGGTCCCACAGCTTCCACTCCTGATTGGCCTGGAGTATTTATGGAGTAGGTACCAGTGTGAAAAAAAATATTTACTGCAGATGAGCTTTTGCATAAGCTTTTGAGGAGTAAATGGAAACAAGTTGGAAATGAACCCTTGCTCTTGGAAAAATGCAAAATGAACTCAAGTTTTCATTTGTTGCAAACAAAATCATTGGCAAATTTTGAAATTTCAAAAGATGTAGAAAATCCATGCATTAAAAAAAAGAACATGACATTTTTGAATTTTTGACTGGCCTGAAACATTTTCAACGGCTGATGACATAAATGGGGAACTCTCGCCGGAACTTGAAATATTTCACTGATCATCATGGAGGAAATATTAAAATTTCTCATAAAAATATTTTTTTTAAATCCCAGAACCTCACAATCGCATGGGCTACATCATGTATATAGTTTTCTTACAGTGGTACCTACTCGTCTAGAAGTACTCAAGGCCAATCAGAAGTAGGGCAACCATCGCATTCCAAGTTTTGCAAATGTTTGTACGAAGCCAGTTTATTGCCATCGTGAAGGTTTTGGCAGGAACTTAAATCTCAAAGGAGAGAGGGAGAGATACTATTGTATGGGCTGCAGGCGTTTCGGTCAGTCTCGCTCGTGTGTGTGCGTGTGGATGTGCCAGTGCATTTCAAAGGTTGCTGTTGCAATTCCCGGTGGATTTGTGAATAAAGACCGACATGGCTCTGGAACACCAGCTTTATTTCCGTACACATCTATTGCGTTGATTCATTTAAATACAGACGTACTGTGCTGTGTGGCCCCGAGATGCGGACATAATTGCTGCTTGGACCTTATATTGTCCCCATGTTGGACAGCCGCACATGGATTTAAACGGGTTAATATTTAATTGGTTCTCCTCTTGATGAGAAATTTTGGAAGAATTTCCCGAAACCGAATAAAATACTTTCATCATCTGAAATAAGACGCATAAATTAATTTCCAGAGGAAAATCACACCCGATCTTTTGGAGCCCAAAAAGGGCGCACAATGGAAAGACATTTTAAGAACGCAGAACAAAAGTAGCCTGTGATGGTGGATTATGATTTATAGGGAATTTATAATAGAAAACATGTTTTCAATTCTTGTGAATGTAGAAAGCTAAATTTATTCATGATATCAAAATTTTGAAAATTTAATTTTTCCATTTGTCCAGAATGAAGTGCCTTATCTTTAGATATTGGGGCAGAATTGAAGTGTCTCAAAGCCGAATAATGCACATTATGAGGCCTCACTGAATAACCAAGATGTACTTCGATGGAAAACTTCAGTTACATCAGACTTTCGATTGTAAGCTGGAACAAGCACGAAATTTCGAGTTGTGATTTTTCAAAACTCGAAATCCTCACTGGATCACAAAATTCTGAATACTGTACTTGGGGTGACCACGCATCCTCCAGGAAACAAAGGAAGCCAAAATAAATTGAACACCGGAGGAACTGTCTGAAAAGCAACGAACCTCAAGCCACTATCTTGAACATGATTTGGACGGGCGACATCTTGTATACAGGTAAAGTGTAAGATCCCAGTTCATATTTGGCCATGGATTCCATCGAAGAAATGCATCGCACGATTTAGAAAACCGTAAAAAAGAATCCAGAAATTGTGTTACAAATATAATTAAAAATGCACAAGATCAGTAAATTCGCGATTAATGCTACGCATTCGTACAGATCAGATTGATAGAAACGGCGGTGAAAACATATTTACTGTCTCCGCGTAAGTGGCCCTTTACATTATTTTAATGCGATTCTTGATAGCTAGAATAATTGACCATGAATCAAGTTGGCTATAAATGCTGTTTTTTTTTACTTGGAAAATGACAAGATGTGGATACTGTTCGCTGTACTCGGCTCGAATACTGCAAGTATCGAAGTGGCAGGAAATAGAAACCCCTTTCAAAGTACTGTAACTTTAAAATCACCTATATGCGGTTCCAATTTGAATAAAAGTTCAATGCAACGAGCAATTGCAATTTTGAAATGGAATATAGAAGCGAAAACTTTTCATAATTCAAGTTTCGCCATTCCAGATGAATTGTTCTAGAGTATCCGGACGAAACGTGTACTTCTATTCAGGAGGAGACTTTCATTCTGGGGTGGTGTGATTCTTTCATGATGAGCACACCATATACAAACAAAATATCAGAAATGCAGGAAAAAACTTCACACTACATTTCAAAGTTTAAATGTTACTACATGAAGTTATTCATTATTTTACCCCTCACGAAGATCCTACGAAAAGATTTTTCTTTACGCCCCCAAGTTCCTCTGGGTTATTTACAAATATATTGCCCAAGTAGTCTTTCAGAACGAAGAGTATTCGTTCCCAACAGTTCCATCAATTATCAAACTCTAAACTCAAGATAAGAGCTTAAAAGCCAAGTACTGCTTAAAAAGAGAATTCAATTTTTAAAATTCCACATATTGATTGAATTTTCTTTTCGAGCATACGTATGCATGCGAAAAATGAACACAACAAGATCTTAGAGGCACTTTCCCGATTTTGCGTGTTGACCTTATTGGGTTATCTCGAACTTGCCCGATTTCTTCTTCGACGCGGGCCATTCTCGACGGCCCGTTTGAGGACACATCAACTGTCCTCGCATTATAATCCGGATTTAAAGGTTTCAGCAGCTCCTTGAATCCCAACTGTGGACATTCGGCAGTGATTCCGCTGTCACACGAGACCCGGCTTTTCAAAAGACTCCACCTACGGATCACAAGCAAGATTTTACACGCAAGAGAACATGACTAACAATATTCCATCACTTGAACAATTGAACCTTGCTTTTGGATCTTCCCTTGTGAAACTCGGTGAGTCTTCGACCCCACCAGGTTTGGATGCTTTCTTTTCTCCGAACGAGGAAGACGGCATTCACGGCAACTTGACCTCCTTTCGCGAAAGACACACCTGCAATGCTCACATGTGTAAACTCTTGGATGATTTTTGCATCAGTATACGTTGTACACACACACAGACATAAATATACCGTGTACATAAACACAGGGACAACATAGAACAAAGGAAGAGGTTCATGTAAAGATGTAAGCTTTTATTTGACAAATCCCATTCTTCTTTTTCTCCATTTTACATAATAATAAATGAACAGACAAATAAGTACCAGTCAGCAGAATAATCAATTATGCACGATATCTACACTGGTCATAGCAACAGATAATAACCGTTCTTCTCAAAAAGGCTATCGCTCTTCCTCTCATTTTGTGTGTTGTTTGCCTTGTCGCACTTTGCGCAAACCCTCCTTGCGGCCCGAGTCGCAAAAATGCTCAAGTGTCGTGCTTTGCTGAAAAAAAGCCCCGGGCGCGTTTTTCCCCTCCCTCCCACTTTTTTCTGCGTTCATTTGCTTGAAAGAAAAAAGAAAAATCTGTTCCTCCCCACGTCTCGTTTCTTCAATCAATCAATCAATCAGCTTGTGAAGATAAAAAGGGGAGACGAAAGTGAGCACACATTTCCGAAACAGCGGGAATCAACGTGGAATCTCGCAGAGGATTTCCACCGGAGGAAAAACTGTCATCACGGCAATGCGAAGGAACACCAACGAGACGAAAAAATCACGAAAACCGTTCCGAATATTCGCACGAATTCAAATAAAAACCCTAAAACTTTTTTCTTTTCTTCTGTTTTCTTCTTTCTTTTTCTTTGTGGCAAAAAAAACGAAACCGCGAGGGATTTCGGTAAAGCTCAACTCGCCTTCCCCCTCTCTTCAGGAAAATGAAAAAAAAAATTTGTTTCATTTGCGCGATTAGTTCTCTCATGCTCTTTGTGTCCTTTCTCTCTCTTGCTTCTTTTTTCCCTCTCTTGTTTATTATAGTCGGTGAAAAACGCAAATGGCACGAACGGAGAGAAGGCAGACATTGTGCAGGAGGAAAACCAAAAGAAGCGACATTGCTTTCTTCTTTTCTCTTCAAATTGGCAGATGCCGCCGTGAAGGGCGCCGGCGAGCCCTGGATTCTGATGTTCAAAAAACCGGCGTCCTCCCGCCGCCATGGGCCACGTGAAAGAAGAGTTTCTCTCCTCTCGAAAGTAGAACCCTTCGTAGCGCCTCACTCGACAAAAAGGAATTTCCATGGCAGTAACAATTTCTCAACGGCATCCCGGGGCACGGTATCAAAAAACGTTCTTTGGGGCCGCCTACAAAAAAAAAGTCGCGCAGAAGAAGGAAAGAACTGCGTTCATAAGCAAGCCGGTTTCTCTCTCTCCCTCTCCCACACACACGTTTCCCCCTTATCATCGCCGAAAGCAAAAAAAAAAAAAAAATCCCAATCACTCTCATCCTCACACACAAAAAAAAAAAGTAAACGAGAACAAACCGATTGACAACTCAGGTCATCCACTCCGAAATAAATTAAGCTTTTGCCCTCGCAGACGCAATCACACACGCTTCCTACTGCATCATCACCTCTGTGAAAATCTTGAAAACTAGATTTCAAGGATCCGACCTCCGTCCCTTTTAATCCACACGCAAAAAAACCCCTTCTTTCCCCGATTGCCCTCGTGAGTGAACATCCCCCGACAGACTAATACGAATAAAAAAACTTCAACGGAACCTTTGAAACGCAATCTGGAAACGCATGCTTCCCTTTTTTGTGACTAGGAGAATGCAGGCGGTCGTTCAGCTCTTCCCAGGACGGTGTCTTCTCTTCACCTTCTCACACGATGTTTATTTTTCGCAAGCTTTTTTGCTCTACTCACGTCGCATCTTCAGAACGAGAAGAAAGACGGGTTGGATCTTGCACTATTTGGTTCAACAAGCAGGTGAAGTGAGAAGTCGGGAAGCAAAACGAAGAAGACGACAAGCATCCAAACAAACACCTCTTTCGAAGCCCTTGAAAGAGCACTGCTTTACGGTCTCAAGTAACCTTTGAAAAAAAAAAAAAAAAGAGACTGATAGAAAAATGTTCAAGCACAGAACCGTCCTGAGAAGTGGAATGAGGGAACCGGCCTGTTTTGGAGATAGGCAACCAGCGAGAAAAAAACGCGTGCTACAAAACAAAAAAAGCCCCTATGCAGTCCGTTCAACCCTCCCGCCCAGAGGTGATGCAAATAATGTTTTGCGGAGAGACAAGAGAGAGAGCCAATCACACGCGAAAAATCATGGTCCCAGAAGAAACCGGTCGGGGGGACACGAAATCAGAAGGCGAGACGGGAAAAGGCGTCGGACGCGAGAAAATCCCCACAAAAAGGCAAGAAACACCAGAACAAAAAGAAAAAATCAGATGCAGGCAGGCAGGCAGATCAAAAAGCTCCTCAAAATATTCTCGAAACAAGCCGAGGAACAAGCGGAAGCCGAACATGACACTTGAATCCCACCAACGGCAGTGAATCCTCCCCCACTTCCTTCACATCCACCCAAGAAAACACCAGAGTGGCGAAAAACTGCCGACATCCGCCCTCTTCCCTTTTATTTTATCTCGTTTTTTTTTTTCTTGTCTATGTTCTCGCTCTTCATGGGACACTCAAACGTTTGACGAACAAAGCCAAATTTCTTGCCTGCTTCCCTCGCTCGACTGTCGAAACAAAACTAGCCAAATTCCTCACAAGAAACTACCGCGAAAACGATTCGTGTCCCAAGAAGAGTGACGAAGTCCATGCCCCCTTTCCCTCCCGAACATCCCTAAAACGCATCCACACAAGACCATCTCGCTCCCCCCACTTCTCCAGATTTCTTGAAAATATGAACAGCGTTGGAATCTCCGTCGCGTGCAAATATCGGAAACCAAGAAACCCAAAATTAAAAAAAAGCTTAAAACAGACCGTCAAAGCTTGAATGACACGCGCCTTCCCTAAAACCGACATTCCGCGTGCACAGACTCCTCATTTTTTTCTTCTCAGACAAAGCTTCTCCGTTGTCTGCTGCGCACAGCCAGTCGAACGAGGACCCAGGCAACAGCAGAGGCGGGAGAAGAAGACCATGATGATGATGATGAACGGGACTCGTCGAAGCTCGTGGCGTGGAGCGGAGAGGAAGGTGCAGGATAGAAAAAAAGTTCTTCGTCGCAATAGCTATTCACGCCAGCTGTCCTTAGTTCCATATCTTGAGGAAGGAGTCCCAGGATCCTGTGCACACCGCCATGCCGTCCTCGGTCACGCCAAGACAGCTCACTCGGTTGTCGTGTCCAGCCAACACGCCTAAAAAAAAAAACCAAACCAGTGCCAATCATCGATAACTCGCAACATCATCGAGTAAAGACAAGCTCGTACGCAAAACTATGAATCAAGCCCTTCCACGAGTCCTAAATTCTGCAAATGCTACTGACATTGAACAAAACGGTGCCAACCGCTAATTTTTTCGAAAAACAATTCGTCCCTACTGTCAAAAACATTGGCTCCGTTAAAACGCCATCCGCAAAAATTTTAAATTCAAATATGCTCCATTCCATTCGATAGCCCACCAACAAGATTTACGGTTCTGTGAGCGGTCTCCAATCTGGAGAAAATAAGAGACACGAAACCGACATAATTTCCTTTTCGGGAACGGAACATTATCTCAATATAATTCACGTGTCCCAGGGTCATTTTTTTGTTTTCTTTTAGAGGAATACTACAGTAATTTAATTTCCCACTAAACTGTACATTTGATTTTCATACTCTTTCAGCTTTCTCGATGAACTCACTCAACAAAAACCCTCACAAAACAAAAATGGTGGTGGCTTGTCGAGGTTCGACAGTTTTTTACCACGGCATCGAAAAGATGCAGCCAAAGCAAGGAAAAAGATCAGATAATTACCCGCTCGTTCGGCCTTCATGGAATCCCAGACGTTGCAATTGAAGTCGTCGTAGCCGGCGAGCAGCAGACGGCCCGACTTGGAGAACGCGACGGAAGTGATGCCGCAGATGATGTTGTCGTGCGAGTACATCGCGAGTTCCTGGTCCGCGCGGATGTCGAACAGCCGACAAGTCGCATCGTCCGACCCAGTCGCAAATGCATTCCCATTCGGGAAGAACTGTTTCCCAAGCAAGAAGAACACAAAGAAGAAAGATTCCTCATCAACATTCTTTCTTTCACCAACATCAAAGGGATTTAAAAGAACAAAAAGGTCCCGAAATCCGATCGTTGCATGAATGGTTCAAGTTTGAGCAACTCCAGAAGAACAGGTTACACAAATTTCATCTGAATTTAAGACGCAAGCAAGAGATTTCGAAGTATAAACGACATCATCTCCTCCAAAATCAAGGTGATTCAAACACAAAAGGTTCCAAAATCCCAGCGTTACGTAAATAGTTCACTTTTCAGCAACTCGGGAAGAACAGGTCACAGAAATTTGAATTCAGAACTTGAGACGCAAGCAAGAAAATACGACGCATGAACGAAACCCCCTCGAAATTTCAAATCTCGAGGGTATGCTTCACCAGCTGAACAACGAACTACTCCAAATTTACAATAGCATCCGTAATTTTTTATTCTCAAAACGCAGTACTGTACCTTTCTCGCAAATTTTACGTCTACATTTTTCATTGCGGCAATAAACAAAAACCATTTTCGCGAGAACTGCAATCAGGGCACCATTTCCAAATACACTTAATTTGCATTCAGCTCTGAACTTTTGCCATACGTACTGTGACTGCGTTGATGTCCGATTCATGTCCTGGGAACGTCTGTCGACACATACCATCCCGGATGTCCCACAGCTGGAAAGATAGAAAACAAAGTAAATCTTAGTGACCGTGAGAAGCTGAAGCAGTGCTTAGCATTCGAAAGCTTCAAGCCGAAATTTAAAAGATACTGTACGTATGGAACGGATCGACGCCACTTGAATGAAACATGATTATCGCACAATTATGAGTTCAGTCTGTTGAATTGACGGTTCCAGAGACAAGAATTTAAATACGTATAGGCAAACTCTCTCCAAAACGTAATTCAAAGGACCACAAAAAAATTCACTGTGAAGAACAGCAATAACATGGGAAGAGAACCCTATAGGATCCAAAAAAAAAAGCATTCTCTAGAGAAATTCGTTGTAGGTAACATCGTTATGGTACAGAGTCCACCTCTACTGGATTATCCAGAAAACCGTAGTGTTCATTGCTCAGAACGGCAAAACATCAATTAAAGACCAACAAGCATATTACAGGCAGATATTAATTTTAACTTTACCATCGATTAAATCGCGGAAATATCTCATTCAAACGAAAAATCAAAATCAAGTCCACCTCCACATCGAAACGACGCAACACAAGATACGATATTCAATTACGTTAAATTACGACCAACATCTGTTGATTAAAACTCAAAACGCTAATGCCTTACTTCGCAAGATACACGATGAACGCGAAGACCAGAAGATAGAGAGTGACAGAAAGATTGAATTCAAGTTTTCAAGTAAAACAAAAAAGAATTTTCCGACACAAATTCAAACGCAAAACCAGATGAAACGCATTACAAACAACATCTCCAAAAACAAAAAGAAAGACGGAGTTTCATCCTGCCGTAAGCTACAAGCTTAAAAAGAATATGAGCTCTCGCTTGAACAGCGATTCATTCTTCACGAGACAATTTTTCCCCCAACTCCCCGAAATAAAAAAAAATATATAAAATAATATTCAACAAGAACTCCTCCGCACCTTAGCAGAGGCATCGCACGCTCCCGAAACGAAGGCCTTCATGTCGGGAGACACTGACAGGGACATCACGTCGCCAGTGTGTCCCGTGAAGGACGTCGTCTGCTGACCAGTCTCTATGTCCCACAACGCACTGCAATCGAAACGGGGAAAGAAGAAATTAATTCATCGTCACGTTTACGCCCGTCGACAATCGAACGATAAAAAAAAAATGTTCAGAAGTATCACAACGACAACAGACCAAGTCATGTCTCCGGACGACGTCACAATCTGGTTATCGTCGAGGAATCTGCAACAGCTCAGGTAGCCCGTGTGACCGGGAAGTTCTCTGCTCACGCGCACGCTTCCTTCACGGGTTCTCAGGCTGAACAAAAGAAAACAAGAGCAAATTATACACACATCTCAATTAAATTTCTTTGTTCATTTGTTCCCCACCCCAAAAAATTATCCAACAACGAAAAATCCATACTGTGAAGTGGACACTCACTTTAACTTTTATCCTCAAAGAAAAATCCCATTAAGATTTGGTTGACAAACTTTTGCTCGCAGACAAAATTTCAAAATGTTGCCATGACATTAAATAAAGTAGAAAAATCATGGGACAGACCAAAGGCTTACACAGCATTTTCAAAGCTTCTTCAACATTAACGGTGTACATGAGGGTGTACCTCGGATGTTCTAGGTTTGAGCAGAATCAATTGAACAAATGATAGCCAGCTAAGAGAAGCTCTTGACAAGGGTATTTTCAAACAAATTTTTCCAGTCGTTTGCACCGTTCAACTGCTGAAGTTTTTCTGTAGTTACAATACGTTATAAAATTATCATTTCATTTTTTGGTGACCATCAGTCACACTTCCACCCAAACCTACAAAACATTGTGAGCACAAGGAAGATGCTATAACTCATTCTGATGAGACATTTGTCCGAAATCTTTTTTCATTGCATTTTCGGGTGTCAGGAAGAGATAAATTGGTTTTCCATCGAAGTCCATGGGAGCATCAAATTTTGTTAACAATCTTTTGTCTGGAACCAATCAAGTTCTTGAGCCAAGGGTCCACGTACTGTAAATTTTATATCATCCACGGAATTCGTTCCCCAGCGCGCTTGTTTATGCTTAGAGCACCATATGCTTAGGACCAGTTGCATAACATATTTGTACTTTAGTGGCTCTGTGTAGGAACTGGGTTGCCCCCTTGGAGACAAGCATTCCTACAGGTTGTTCACCTTTTGACCATTCTGGTTTACTTCCACCATCTGCATTGAGTTCAATCACTGTGTGTATGCATCTAAACTGATGAAAGGACTTTCTGTACTGATTGTCTGTCTTGTCATTGCCCATTTGTGTTGCTGAAAATATACGCTTACACTTTGTTCATCTTGAGAAAGAGAAGTACAGCACTTCGTTTATTGATCAACCCAGTCATAAGAATTCTCCTCCAATCTAAGTAATTCAACATTGATTGTCTCTTCATTGGCTCAAATTAAATTTATAAAACCAAGAAGATGTTTCGTACGGATAACAACGACAAAACGTGAAAGCAGAGACAAAAAAAAATAAGAAAAAGGGTAGCATTCCTTTGTCAAACAAACATAAACAACGTTCAAAGCATGAGACAGACAGACAGACTGACACGAGAACATGTTCTTTCTTGCTTCCTCTCGTACCCTTCCCTCTTGAGCATATCGTCGTCTCACTCACCTGTATATGGAGCAGATATTGTCGAGCCCGCCGCAAGCAACGAAATTGCCCGACGGAGCATAGGCACAGGTCATGACCCAAGAAGACCGCAGCGGAATGGCATGCACCTTGTTCGTCGTGTACGAGTCCCACACGATGAGCTTCCCATCTTGACTGGCACTGACCAAATTCCTGCCAAACCCAGCGAAGAAAACCAAACTTTAATCACACCATCATCAACAACCACGCCAGTGCTTCGACGATGCAAAAAATTTAAATAATAATTTAATCTTACTAAGCTCGTGAATCCCAACCTCTAATTCATTCTATATAGAAAAAAAGAAGAAAAAACTACCGTGATGCGCCCCAGGCGACGTCTACTTTTAAAGTTTGGTCAAACTATAGCGCAGATAACAGTACAGTATAAAACATTGATCATGCTCAACAAAAACGTCGATTCCCTAACTAATGGGCAATCGAACTCAAAACTTCTAAAGTATTTTGAATTCACACCGAATACAACCATTACCAGCAGCATTTGCGAGGAACAAAACGAATTAGTATCAAGCCGCTATTTGCAGGAAAATAAGGCATTCAAAAACAAACACAAAACGAAAACAAACGAACGAACGACGAATCAACCATCGGGTGCACATTCAACAAAAGAAGGGCAAATATTGCAGAAAAATCCGCGTCGGAACCGAAACCACATTCTCTCAGCACATGCCTTTCATTCGGATTAGTTGACAGACACACACACACTCAGTTCCTCTCTCTCTCTCTCAACATTCCAGGAGATGCAAATAGCAACGACAAAATGCTCCATCGCAGTGTCCATACCTTGAGCTTTTTGGGGCAACGACACCCACGACGGAGATTCAACGTTTTCATCACACACGTGAGGCAAACCGGGAAAGGCAACGACACAAACACGTCAGACGCAGACGGATTTGGGAGCAAGATATAAAGCAACGAGGGAAGAAAAAAAGACAGAAGAGAACGTCATTAGACAAACCTTACGAATCATATTTCTTTTCTTTTCTTTTGCTTTTCTCAACACACGTCATTCAACACAACTTGCCTACATACAGTATTTTGTTTTCCTCCTGAACACGCTACACTTCACTTCCACGTAATAATAAGGGTGTTTGAAAGAAAGTCTCTCTCTCTCTCATCAGGGAAGGTCGAATTTCGGCGAAAACCCCCACATTTAAAACGTTATAAAAATTGGTTTGAACACAGACCTGAATATCTTGCGACATTAACCAGATATAATGCTCATGCAGGCACATCCAGAGAAATCCAGAAACACACGAAACTTTGAATACGATCGCATCCCAAGAGTAACACTGATTTTCATAAACAATTCGAACACTCGGAACACGAACGATCATCACGAGGGGTCTACCAGAAGTTCTCGTGATATAAATTGAAACGGCACACGATTGAGGTAAAAAACAGTGACTGATATTGTCGAGAAATAATTCTTTAGCACAAGAAAATCAAGACCAAGTCCTGTTTGACATCTTCTTCGTTTGTTGCAAAAGTCGCCTGGGCATATTTTTCTTTTTTTTTAGCCCAGCCTTTTCTTCCGAATTCTTGAAATCGACAAGACATTAAATCCAAGGGTTGCCTCCAGGTCTTCCGAGGTTATTCAGTCATTTTTATCATCCACATTATCATCCAATGTGGCGGCTGTTGATAAAAATGGCTTCATTAGATAGTCAATTACTGGCGGAAACCCTTGGAATTAATGCCATGTCAATATCCAGGATTCTGAAGAGAAAGCAGGGAGTGCAAAATAAAAATAGCGAGATGGGCGCCTCATCTTCTGCGGGAAGAGCAGAAAGCTGTTCTGCAAACATCTTCAGCAAAATATGTCAAATAGGCCTGCATTTTCATTTTCTTGTGCCAAACAATGAGTTTTTTTTTCTGAAAAATAATTTTTGCCATCTCAATCGCACGCCGTTTCAATTAACATTTGTTAGACCCCTCGTGTTGTCCAGTACTGTACTGTACTATACATGGGAGGAAAAAGGCATGAAAACACTTGATAAAATGAACACCTCTTCTTCCTCCTCCTCCTCCCCCAACTGTCCAGTAACTTTTTTTTTTCTTTTCGACACCCCATGCATCGAATCGCATCGCATCGTCGGGAAAATCATCCATCACATTCAATGACATGGAGAATGCTTCGATGACATTAGCTGGGATCGAACGGTTTTTCCAAGCAGCTGGTAAAGTTGGTTGAAAACCCAGGGTTCGGAAAAGGCGGGGGGCCACGTTTGCCTTCTGGTTGATGCAAGAGAACCCGGACAAAAACATTAGCTGAAACTCACGGTTTTCAGCGAAAGCATTCCAAGCATTCCTCAAGTCAAAGACAACAACATTCTTGTGGTCTACAGAATAAAGTTGGTTGAAAACCCAGGGTTCGGAAAAGGCGGGGGGGGGGGGGGGTGAGAAATCGGGTTCTCTTTTTCCGCGCGGCCTTAAAAGAAGACGCCCGGTGAGCAGAGTGCCCGTCGCGACTATTCGTTCCCATTACTTTCCAGATAGGGAGCGTCGACTTTCCCTCTCCCTCCCTCTCTCTATACTGCACATGTACATGTATATATATATCCTGGCCGGGCCAACTTTCCACCTAGCAAGTCCTGCACACGAGCCCCTCTCTGTTCATCTACATTACCGGGCAAAAACTCCCTCCTCTGGAAATTCCACTCCCCCCCCCCCCCCCTCTCTACGGGACACGAGATCCCGGGTCATGCACGGATTCACGACCGTACGAAAACCCCCCCACCCAACCGTTACGCGAAACCCACTCGACTACTTGCCAACCCTCCAAGTCCTTGTTCGTGGATTTGACCGATTGCAGATCTCAGTAATGCATTCCTTCATCCCCCAACCGCAATTCATGTCACTTTTTTTTTTTTTTTTTTTTTTTTTTTTTTTTTTTTTTTTTTTTGCAACAAGTCTATCTGTTATACAATTGAACCTCTTCGAGTCAGGACCAGCAAAATGAATGTGAGTGATGGAGAAAGCATTCGTTTTGGAGACAATTTACAGAAAATTATAATTGGTGGTACAGTATTATGGAGCTAAACTCGCTTCTTTGAAACTTGAGCCGACAGGAATCCTGACTTGGTGGCACGGGTTCATTTGCCCGATTCGTTTTTGACCTTCCCTTCAAAACATATCTTTCCTATTTTTTCGTTCCTGTCGATGAAATAATAGTCAAAGGACCTCCAGAAAATTCGAGTTACGAAGGTTTGCACAAGAAGTCTTTGAGTTCGAGAGGTCGACCCGTAAGAAAAAATTTAAAGGAAAAACATGCATGAATGGTGAAAACTGACGTCAATGTGAAGGTAATCGAGCATTTCGTTCTAAAATTCCGACACGTACGATAACACACGCTGCATTTTAACCTTTAGACAGACAAGAAAATTCCAAATCACGAGATAAACGTGGACCTCGACCAGGAATTTTGAAAATAAACTCCAAAATTAAATTTATACTGTATAATGCACTCTCGAAAACACCAAACAACATGTGAAAAAGGTTCTTGAGCAACCGACTCGACGGAAACGTGATTTTCCAACGGAGAATTCAATTTAAATCGCAGTTTTTCGAACGATTACACGCCATTCTCAAAAAACTGGTTTTGCTTTCCGCTTCTTTCTATTTTTGGCGGCAAAAATAGAAGATTGAAACAAGTCTACGACTACTGACATGATAATAATTTCAGATCCCTCAAGGCGCTTGCGATCGTCCAAAATCCATCAACTCGTACAACTTAATCTATTGTAAGTTCTACCAGCCAGTGGAGAAGCCTTTACTACTACAGTACTTCAGATCGGAAGACATTAGTGTACTGCAATCATAATAAACCAAATGAAAGAGAGTTTCACAGCGTGTCAGCCAATTTTCCATCCTCTTGGAGTAGAAACAAAATGCATCGACAGCCTTTCCAAATTGTTTCTTTTTTCTGTATAATTCGCAGATTGAAACAAGCCTCGGACGACTTGACGAGAGAATCGCAGATCCATCCACCAAGGCACCCGCGACTATCGTGAAACTACAGTATCAACTTGCACAATGGATCTGTGGCGGAATGATTAGATTACCAATTATATAATGTGTCTCAAATTATCTAGAATGCTCTGGAATAATTGAATTGGACTTCTATTATATGACAGTCCATCTTAATTGAATATTTGAACCAGTAATTTATCCCTTTCAGTGAATCAGATCCAGCAGCGCAGATTCCTGGAAGGGAGAGTATGAAAACCATAAAAGGTCACTCTTCCACTATTTTGATATTCATTCTTCCTGAGTCAGTCTAGTGCCAGTTGTCATTCCAATTGTTTCTGATATTTCTATTACTGTGTGTGTTCTGTGAATTAATTATGTGGAAAAAGTGAAATACGGTAGATCTATCCGTTAATCTTTCTGGGATTTCCTAAGGAATCCCAGCTGAACCCCACAGCTGAATGTTGTTCTTTTTATTTTTGGAATTAATCCCTTTCTTTCCTCCTTTTGTAATTGTCAATTACAGGATTATATTGGTTATAGCTGCTAGCGGAGATGACAAGAATTCCAACAACAAAAATGAGAACACGGCATGGCAGCCAATTTTGATAATTTTGAAGAGGAATAAATACAAAATGGAAGAAACGGCAGGAGGAGACCAAAAAATTCATCAACAGCTTCGCTTCGACAACTTTTCTCCTTCTCCGCCGTTCTCTACATTTTGCACGGGCTGGCCAGCGTGTAGTCTAGTCTCTAGTCAGTCGCAGCAGAACCAGAGCAAAGGCTGCATGGCATGGCATGGCAGCCGCCGCGTTGCGCCAGCAAGATGGGGGATCCCCTGAATCCTCCTCCTCCTCCTCCTTCTTCTCCTCCCACCGCTTCTTCCTTTCTTTCTCACTCCTCTTCTTCGTCTACTTCCACTTTTCCTCCTCCTGCTGCTCCCACTTCTACTACTTACTCACTCACTCGTTCCCCGGGTCCCGGGGCAGAGGAACTCCCTCTCACCCGCCCCGCACTCCCCTAATCGATGACACTGCTCTCGGGAGGGAGAGTCGACGCGCGGTCGGGAATAAAACATACCGACAAGCGTCCGGCTGCCGAGCAAGTATTGTATTGTACACGAGCGGCAGGCAAATGCCGGGGGTCTTCTTCTTCTTCTTCCAAAC